CTGTTTGGTCAATTCAGCTACTGAAACTTGTGTATGCTTCGCGAAGTTCTTGCATTGTGTTTTTCAGCTTCATCAATTCACTTATATTCCTCTCTAAGTTGTTTATTCTCGTTAGCATTTCCTCAAATCTTTCTTCAAGGTTCTTAGTTTCTTTGCATTGGGTTAGAACATATCCTTTTAGCTCACAGAAGTTTCTTATTACCCACCTTCTGAAGCCTGATTCTGTCAATTCATCACACTCATTCTCCATCCAGCCTTGGTCCCTTGCTGGTGAGGAGTTGTGATCCCTTGTAGGAGGAGAGGTGTTATGATTTTGGGTGTTTTCATCCTTTTTGCGCTGGTTTCTTCCCATCTTTGTGGGTTTATCCACCTGTCGTCTTTGTAGATGCTGACTTTCAGATTGGGTCTCTGAGTGGACGTCCAGTTTGTTGATGATGAAGTTATTTCTGTTTCTTAGTTTTCCTTCTATAAGTCAAGCCTCTCTGCTGTAGAATGGCTGAGGTCCACTCCAGGCCCTGCTTGCCTGGGGATCACCTGTAGCAGCTGCAGAACAGGAATGGTTGCTGCCAGTTTCTTCTGTTATCTTTGTCCCTGAAGGATACCCGCCTGATGTCAGTCTGAGCTCTCCTTTATGAGGTGACTCTTTGGATATATGGGGGTCAGGGAGCTGCTTGAGGAGACAGTCTGTCCTTTATAGGAGCTCAAGTGCTGAGCTGTGAGCTCCATTGTTCATTCAGAGTTGCTGGGCAGGTATGTTTACGTCTGCTGCAACTGAACTTATAACCGCCCCCCTTTTTTTTTTCCCAGGTGCTCTGTCCTGGGGATTTAGGGCTTTATTTATGAGTTTCTGTTTTGCTGCTGGCTTTTTTCAGGGCTGCCCTGCCCAGCAAGGAGGCAGCCTAGTCACTGTCTGCCTGCCGAGGCTTTGCTGAGCTACTGTAGGCTCCGGCCAGCTGCTGTGTGAACTTCCCTGCAGTCCTGTTTATATGGGTGTAGTTAGAACTGCCTCGGCAATGGCGGCCCACCTCTGTAATGGCGGACTCTCTCTTTAATAATAGCGGGCTGCCTCAGCAACGGCAGACTACCTCTGTAGTGCTGGGGTGCCTGGGTAATGGTGGACGCTCCTCCCCCACAGAGCTGGACCTTCCTGGGTTCAGCCATGCTTGTTGTGAAACCCTCAATCCAGAGTGTTTCATGTTGCTGTTTTTATGTGTGGGTGGAACCAGCCAAGCCTGATCACCTGGCTCCCTGCCTCAGACCCTTTTTTTTTTTTTTTTTTTTTTTTTTTTTTTTTTTTTTTTTTTTTTTTTTTTTTT